AGAGAGAGAGAGAGAGAGAGAGAGAGAGAGAGCTATTTAGATGATCCAAGTTTACCATATTTCTTCCCGAACCCTTAATTTGTATTATTGTTATAAAACATAGATATAAAACTTTTATAATGTGGTAGATTTAGAAAATTGTGAACATGTTAACTCTATGCTCTCTCTCTCTCCTCTTCTCTCTCTCTCTCTCCCTAATAATCTAATTCAAAATGATTTTCTATACAAATGCCATAAAACTCTAAACAAAACTTTATACTAATGTCATTGATATGTATATAAAACCAACCAAAATGACCATGATGATGATCAGGTGGTGTTGAACTCGCTGCACAAGTACGAGCCACGGGTGCACGTCATACGAGTGGACAGTGAGGAGAATTGCGAGAAGATATTGACGTTCAATTTCATGGAGACACAATTCATCGCGGTCACCGCTTACCAAAACGAGGAGGTTAGTAAACAACACTAGCTATACCATGTGTGTCTCAAACCATGTTTGTTAAACTGTGTATTTGGCTCGAGTCTGGCCACTGGTTTATGTCTATAAGGCCCCACTAACTGGCCATCCATTGACCAGACTGTCTATACAAGGGTTAATTTTACAACATTAATTTTTTTGTTTGAGCTGTCTATTCATTCATGAGATGTTATTTTTGGGTATTAGTTTAGAGACAGTGTATTAATGTATTGAGGTTTTAGCCTATGGTGAGAACGAGACATGTATTCCCTATGGGTGTGAGTGAGTGCGACGGATAGGTCAGGTGCCATACAGGACGGGTCAATGGCTTACTATATTAAAAAGTATTGAGAGAGTGAGTGAGAGAGAGACGATGCAAATGAATTCATAGATTAAAAAGGGATTAATAATAAAACCAAGCGTTTTTAATCCGAAACTTATATACAGATAATAGTGTATTTTGTCTGAGCGTTAGTATTGAATGGTATGAATGAATGATATTTTAAAAGCGTATATTTTTTCGCATAATATGTGCGAAAGTAATAAAATTAACACTAAAAGTGAGAATGGTGATTATTGGCACGCACTAAATACATTGTTGCATTATTGTTATTATTGCAAATTGATTGCAATTATCGACAAATATATCAAAACAAATTACAAATAATACATTATGCTAACAATACAAACAAATATAAAGTACAGCATTCATTCAGAATAATAAGTTTACATTTACAATAATTCTTAGGGCACATGAAAAATTTCAAAAGCTAAATAATCAAGTTGTAAAATAATATAAACAATGCATGATAGTTAACATATAAAGTATAACAAGTATATAAACTTTACATTGTTAATACACAATTTTTAAACTATTGATAATTCAATTGTGCTAGCTACAAATCTATTACAATAATAACGCAAATCTATGCTAAACATGCAATTTTATAAACACCATAATAGGTAACACAACTTAAGATACGGCACAATCCGTTCGCCAAGGCCTTTCAGGACGCCCGCGAGCGGCCCATCAACGAGATTAACAACAATCAAATGGGAGGCCCCGGCGGTGGCGGTGAGGGGGTTATCATACCGCCCAACAAAGTGGTCATTAACGACAGCTTACACCATCACCACCACCACACCCATCATCATCACCCCCACCCTCATCACAATACGGGCGCTGGCGGTGGTTCGTCGCCGCCCACCCCTCCTAACAGTTGGTGCAATAGCCCGGTGGCGGTCAACCCATACAATCATCACCACCAACAGCAACATCAGGGTATGGGAGGTGGTGGTGGCCCCGGGGGTATGGGTACCGGGGGTTCGGGCCTACACTGCGAACGGATGACCACTTTGCGGTCGCATCGTGTGGTGCCGTACGGTATCGATAGGCCACATATCAAGAGATCTCCATCGCCTTACGGTATGTCTTGTTTTATAATTAAATTTTTATTGCCATTTATTTTGTTAAATATATTTTTGTTTAATTTAAAAGCCTTTTAATTCTCTCTCTCTCTCTCCAGTCTAAACACCAGAGGGTCGGTTTAGATATGGCTTTTATTTAATATAACCACTAGCGCAATTTGTTTTTTTACAAATATAATTTTATTATGTGTATTAAAATGTTTTATGATTATTATTAATATTAATACACAGCGAGAATATATGGTGAATATAATTGTGTGATTTTATTATTAATATTTCTCTTAATCATAAAAACATGCGAAATGTTAGCGCAAAGTAAATATTAAACTTTGTGTTTGATTATGATTTAAATTTCATATTTTATCATAATTTTATAACAATAAAAAACTTATATTCATGGAATTGGAGAGAGAGAGAGAGAG